TCTCCCACTCTCTCACGCTCTCTCTCGGTCTGTGTGTGTGTTTTGGGTTAAGCTATTAGACTAAAAGGTTATTAGCCGTCGCCCGACTGTCTGCTGGCTGTCGACGTGATTTGCCTGTCTAAAGCGAACTGCGAGCTGCACGTCGCGTCGCCTCAAGGACGCCAACCTCCTGCTGGAGTCGCAAAAGTTGCCCGAGTGGATTTTGCACTTTGATATGCGTTTTATTAATAAAACAAATTGCCAGGCATATGACTATAATTTTAGCGCGCGCCCCCAATGTTTAAATTGAGTTTATGTTCATTTGGGTGACGTTTGGAGCGGGCTGAACGGACGTGATGCTCCGGCGGGCATCCTGCCAAGCCACAGCCAGCAGACAGCGGACGGCGGACAAGAGACAGCAGGCAGCAGACGGCAGGCGGGCAACACACGTCAACTATTTTTCAACAAATATGCGCAAAAGTTTTTTCATATTAAAGCCACAAAGGACGAGAGTGAGAGAGAGCAAGAGAGAGAGAGAGAGCGTGAGATAGATGGGGCAACGTGTGGGTGCATGCGGTGGCAGCTGACCATAAGCTGGCACAGCTTGCATTTTTGGCATATGCAAAGAGGGGCTGAGGCTGAGCATTACGTGCCGCACGTGCTGCATGCAACAACAAAATGATGGGCGGGGCGTGACCATTTTCCCTGTCGAAAGTGCCACAATTCATTTTTTAATCGCGACGCATAAATCAAAGGTGCAAGGGATGCCGCGGGCAGCCCAGAGCCCGGGCTGGGGTTCGGGTGGCTGCCAAAAGGTGCCACAGCAGCGCAAACAAAAAGTGTTGCATGCTTTGCGTGTGGCATTAGCTGTAGCTGCTGCGGCTGCCACTGCCACTGCTGTCGTTGCATTCGACATTATGGCTACACAGCGCACATTCCTCAAGCTAAATAAATGCGTAAAAAACTTATCAAAATTTATGAAATCGTTTTTCAGCTGAGCTGCGCTCGGAATTGTTGTGTCACATTAGTTTTGGAATATGAATTTAAGTTTTAGCTTTTACTTTGTTTAATGAACAAAGCAATAAAAGTTATGGCTAGGCAAAGGCAGGGCTAAAGAGCTCGACAAAAAGTTGATTAGAACTGGGGCACAAATATTTTCTAGAGAATGCATCATGGGGAAAAAAGTAAAAAAAGAAAATATTGACTCTAAACTTATAAACACTTTTTGATAGAGGAAGCATAGATGAGATAGAGAATGGTTAGAAAAAATAGGTGAATCATAGAATAGAAGAGCAGAGTTGGAAATGCTTGAAGTGATGCAGCGGCTGTTGACATACGGAAGCACAAGGGGATTTATTCTCTGCTTTTACTTCCGACGATAACGAGTTAATTTTCTGCAAAGGCAAATGTAGTTCTGTGCCTGGACTCGGCTATGTCAAAAAAGTAGGAAAAGATTGCGTTGAATATTGAACTATTAGAGAGGTGGAAAACATAGAGAGGGGAACAGAGAGATAGAGAGAGGGAAAGGAAGAGCGAGAGAGAGAGAGAGAGAGAGGGAGAGAGAGAGAGAAGGATAGATATAGAGTGACATAGACGGCATGAGAGTGAGAGAGTAGAATCCGATTATAAGGAAGCTCAAGAAACGGTCGTTATACTCGGATGACGGTATAACCATATATTTTCGTCACAATAAAAAAAAACTCTTTTAAATATATCAATATATACATACATATATATTATATTGCCTCCACTGCTGCAGCAGTTCTTCGCTCTATTGAATGTCTAATGCCTTTATTGTGCTTCTTCCGTATTTCCAACTTTATTTTTATAGAGCTTTACAAGTTTCAGAGAGCCACAAGAAAGATTCTTTTAAATATTTATTAAGAAGAATGGAATGGATTGCCAGGCACAGAGAGAGTTTCAGCACCTGCCCTTGCTTCCACAATATTATATCATCATGGGCATTACTCACATTTCCCATAAATCACATTGCTCTACTTTATAATAAAATAAACAATGCGAATCAGCTCAATAAATGAAATACGCCTTAATCTTTCAGCTGTTCGAAAAACAATTCATAACTTGTTCTTTTCCTGCCCCACATTGCAAGTCTTTCAAGAATAAAAACACGTTGGTTGCCGCCAATTAACGCATAGTTGATAAAAGGTCAAGATAATACAAATAATGGAGTACAAATGAGTTGGCCATAAATCAAAGCTCTGGGCTCACCTGTGCGAGTGCGTGACGCCAGCTGCCAATTAGAGAGCCGATGACCTGATGGCCCGTTGGCCCATTGGCTCGTTGGCCAGTTGGCCAGTTGGCCAGTTGGCCATATCATAAGCCTCAGCAGAGAAGCAACAGCTGTAGCTGTTGCCTGACATGTTAACAATATGTTCTCCTAGCCGGTCTGGATGCGTGCTTGGGCCACTTTTTGGGGATTATCCTATTGTTGTTGCGGTGCCATTGGATGGTCACGTTACATGGCAAATATTTGCTTTTCATTTGGCTAACACACACACGCACATACACACCGATACAAATATATGTGTATATGTACATATATATAGAGGAACACACACACTCACACAGGTGTAAGCTGTAAATTGATTATTGTCAGAGTGAGAATGGAGAAAAAAAAGAGAAAAAAAAATAGTAGCTGAACTGCAACCACACAACAGCATCCAATCTCTCTCTCAGTGCTGCTGCGGTTGCTGCACGAAGCTGCTGAAGTTTTTGGGCAACAGCAGCCACATGCAGCATCCTGTCATGCCATCGTCTGTTAATGTGTCTGTCAACGCAAAGAGATTCGACACATCGCGACCTATAGTGCCAGCCTCTGGCTTCCTCTACATGCCTTCCTCTCCCCTTCCCCTCCTGTCAGCCGCTAGCCTTCTCTATCTCGCTACAGCTTCAGCTGCTGTTGCGTTGCCTGCACGATGATTACACAAAATTGAATGCTCCACACACTCGCATTGAATGTAAATGCCTGTGTGTGTGTGTGTGTGTCAATTTGAGTGTTGAAAAGTGGTCTCCAGTGTCGGCGGTTTGGTTGAGTTTGGTTTGGTTTGCTTCTCGGCTTCATCATCAACGTCGTCGCATGTCGCGTTTGCTGCTTGCCATTTCATTGTGTATAAACAACTTTTGTTTGACTGTCTGTGTGTGTGTCCGTGTGTGTGTGTGTGTGTGGGCTATGCGCATGTATTATTTATAGGAGTCATCCTCGTTATTGTCTGTATCCCCAACCTGATCATCGCCGTCATCGTCTATTTAGTTTTCCTGCTCCCCGGCTCTATCCACGCAAAGCCCTCTAAATTCCTCTTTTGTCGCATAGCCAATGCTCCGCCTCCTGCGTCATATTCAAATTCAATAGTCAGCAACCGCTGCAAGTAGCTAGCAGATACATTTCGGCCTCCGGCACAGGCGGCGATAAACAGGCGACCAGGCAACGGCAACCTACAGCACTTTTGCTTCTTCTTCTTTCTTTTTTGTTGCCCACGAAATCAGAGCGAATTTTGACAACGTGCATAGACGGTGGAATGAGCTACAATTTGACTGAGTGATAACTTTTAAAGTTACTACTGTACTAACTATGTGTATCAAAAACTGTAGACTAGATATTAGTTTTTATTATTATTGTAAAAATTATATTTTAACTATATTCATTTTAATTTTCAGAGCAGCTAAAAGATTTAGCTAAACCATATATAGTATATAAGTCCTTGATAGGTAAGCAAATGGTGTATTGGCTTTAGTTGTTTTTATACATTTTATAATGAATGGACAAATCTTACATTCACATTAGCATAAAGTTAAATGCTTTAACAATGCCATGGAGCACATTTAGGGCAGTAGATAGGCTAAGGGCTAATGCTTATGAATTAAGAGCACAGTTATTCATTCTCTTTGTTCCACAAGCTCTCATTCATTTTCCCTTTATCTCCAGTTTCTGGTTCTTTATTTTGTTGGCCTTTCCTCGTTCCCCTTCGCCTTTAATTTCCTCTACTTCTTTTTCGTCTTCCCCTCTTCTCATCTTCTTCTTCTTCTTATTTATATATTCTTCGCATTCACCTTCCTCTTCTCCATATCCCCTTCGCTTTTTACCCTACTCCATATCCTCTTCCCACATTACCCTTCTCCATATCAGAGGATCTCTTCTCTTCCTTTATATTTTCTTGCCTTTCGCTTTCTCTACCTAAGTTTTCTTATACTTCTTATTCTTCTCTTTCAATTTCTTGTACTTCTCTTTCTTCGCTACAATTTTCTTGTTGTTCCCCTCCATCATCTTCAGCTTTCTTCTTCCCTTTTCCTCAGTTTCAATTTCTTCCACTTTCTTCCGCTTTCTTCTCCTTCTATCTCTCTCTTATTTCTCTTTCTCCGAGACATTCTCTATTTTACTCTCCCAGTATATTTTGAGTTCTCAGTTTTCTTATTCAGTTCAACTTCATCTTCATCTTCACTATCCTCCTTTTCTCTCAGCAAATTCAAATAATTCAAATTCATACTTAAAGCTGAGCAGGAGCAGCTATGCAGGAGCCCAAATATAACGGTTTGTCAAACGAATGCAAATAGTAAATGACGAAGCTGAGCTGACGTAGAACCTTAGCTCTTCGACATGCTCGATGAGGACAAAAGTGTTGTCAATTACGTAAGAAACTTCGCATATTTATAGAACTGTGCAGCTGGCGTTCCGTAAAAAGTTCGCGACAAACTTTGAGGGCGGAGGAAGTGCGGAGTGGGGAGCAGCGAGCATGGAAGTGGAGGTAAGCTGCTGCCTACTTAAGTATTGCAACTAGTTCAGTTTCGTGCGTCAGATCCAACATGTGCACGTTTTTTCCTTGTTAAAGAGTTTCTGGATAATTTTCTTCTTGTCATTTCTTTTTTCTCATTTTATCCATTTTTTATTTTTTTTTTTTTTGGTTGATGAAGCTTGTCGTCTAAAGTCTAAAGTATGTGGGCGTGTCAGCTTATGGCAGCTGAGCAACTCGAGAGCATGCAAATAAAATCAAATCCGGCAAACTCACCTCGAATGTTGTGAAGACGATTTTCTCTATGGAGCCAAAGTAGCGCTCCCACAGGACCTGCGTCTGTTGTCGCAGGGCAAAGATGCGTTCCGCTGAAATTGAGCGAACAATATCGGGTACCTGCAAGCAGAGAGGGAGAGACAGAGAAAGCGAGAGTTGTGTAAGTAAGAGATGCATGTAACAGATTATGTGTGGCAGCCGCAGCAGCAGCAGCAGCCGCAGCAGCAGCAAATCCCAGGCACAATGCATTAATTACAAGACTGGCCAAAACCAAGTTGGCTGCCGGCAGAGCAGAGCAGCGCAGAGCTGGTAATTAGTTGGGGAATTGGCCTGCAGGATATACATCATAATTATGCCAGCCAAGCACACGCACACRCACACAGATGCACCCAAGTCGACATTCAATAAATGCAGCAAATTGAAACAATTTAAAGAGTCTCGTGGCCAAGTTTCCTGCTCAAGTTAACTTAATTAATTGCATTTCCTGCCAATAAACTACAAAAGCAAACATGCCAGCGATGAAGTCGCAGGGCGGACGTGGCTGAAAGGCAGACAATGCAATTGGCAAACAATGCGACAAGACTTTGTCGCGAATGAAGACGAACAGAAGCCAACGCCAGCAGCAGCTGGAGACATAGAAATTGCAGCAGTAGCAGCAGGAGCAGGAGAAGGACAAGGAGCACAACTTTGCGTGCAAACAAATGCCAGAGAGCGAGCACAGGGCAGACCCAGACACAGTGAGCCACCCAAGTGGGCGGGCAGGTGGGCGGCCAGGTGGACAGTCGCACAGACAAGCCCGGGCACAAAAAGTGTTTTATGTTTCTGAAACCAGGTGAACATCTGCACAGGACATTCAGATCCAGACCCAATCGCAGCGCACAAACGTTGCCATTTTTCATGCATCGCTTGCAAATGGCAGGCAATTTTTGTGACCAATGCTTCAGCATCGAACTGTCAAAAGGACCAATTATTGTGCTTGTCAATAATTTTGAAACGCATTTTTCAGCTCAAACTAGATTCGAAACAGAGTTTCGTAAGATTTGGGGTAAACTTGAAATGTATTGAAAATTAGATTTAGTAAAAGAACTTTTAAATAAAATATAAATACATTGAAGTATCTAAAATATATAAAATATGTAAATATATTTGTTTTTCGCATAACAAAAAAAAAATAAAA